AGTAGCAGACAACATGAAACTAACATATATGACAATATCACCTAGACTCAACTCAGATATGTTGTTGGTGTTGTTAGTGCCATGAGTCGGTTCCAACCCATAGTGAGCCTGGAAAGGGTTCCCAAGGAGCGTGGCTGGTGGGTTTGAACCGCTGACCTGTGGCTAGCAGTCAAGTGCTCATCCTACAGCACCACACCAGGACTCCAACTCAGATATGTTGTTGTTGTTATGTGCCGTGGAGTCGGTTCCGACTCATAACAACCCTGTACAGGGTTTCCGAGGCTGTAAATCTTTACGGGAGCAGAAAACATCATTTTCCTCCTGTGGAATAGCTGGTAGTTTTGAACTGCTGAACCTGAGGTTAGCAGCCTAACTCGTAACCATTACTCAAAGTAAAACAGATCTAATCATTAATCCACTGGTCTAATGGACCACGTGACCATCACTCTCTAGGACTCTGAGACCAGAAGAACTAGCTGGTGCCCGGCTACCAACTGCTCTGAAAGGGACCACATTAGAAGGTCCCAAGCAGAGTGGGAGAAAATGTGGAATAAAACTCAAGTTATAAAAAGACTGGGCTTAGTGGTCAGAAAGAGACTGGAAGAACCCTTGACCACCCCTTGAGGTCTGAAAGGGAACTCACTTTATGGCCCAATTATCAGCCCTGCAAGTAGGCATAATAGTGGGAGACAACAGAACTAGTAAGGCATGCTTATCATGGGAAGGCCAATGGCTCAAAATCAAAAGGGCAACACTTATTTCAGGACAAAGTTGAGACGAGATGGGACTCTGGGTGAAACCGAACTAGGAAGCAGAGGGAGGAAGTGGAGTAATTCTTGTTGCAGGGAGAGAAGTGCAATCATTGAGATGAAACAAAGTGTGTGATTTGTCTGTTAACCACTCATTGAAAATAAAAAGCTAAAAAAAAAGTTGTTGTTGTTGCATTCTGAAGGCTAAAAATAGAGAACCACATATATGTTTGCAACAACGAATTTAAAAAGGCATAAAGTAAAGAGAGAATAATGCAGTTAGAGAACTTCCAAATCAAATGGAAATCAAGTAGATTTCAATAAACAAGCCTTGTCTAGACATAATTATAAATCTAACCCTAACTCCTTACTCCTACCTATTCCTCCACCATACCCCCTAAAAAAGATATTAAAAAAAAAAAAGGACACAGTGATTAGTATCTTTCATGTGGCCCACCAGACTCTATGTTGTTCTACCCATGATTACGCCTACCACCCACCCAGCCCCAACTCCAGCCACACTGGCCTCCTAGCTGTTCCTGGCTAGCATGTGCCTATCTCAGGACCTTTGTACATGCTGTCCCCCAGCCTGGAACTCCTCCACACTTTCTTTCAAGGCTGCTCCCTCCTTTCTTTGCTTAGGTCTCTGGTTCAATGTCACCTCCTCAGCATGCGCATCTCCCAGAACCTGATGGTGTCTTGGACAGGCAGGACTGGGTCCTGTTAAGTGCAGGCAATGAAGCCAGCCTACCAGGTTTGAGTTTCAACTCGCTTCTTACTAACTATAGGATTTTGGACAACTTATTCATTGAACTCTGTATCTCAGTTTCTTCTATAAAACGGCTGTCATAAGTGGCCCCCACACCAGAGGGTTGTGGCAAGGGTGTCTGATGCACAGTGGGTGCTTGGTGAATATTGCAACTGTCTGACTGACTCGGGTCCAAGGAGGTTCCTGAACCAGGACGCACAGAAGGAGCAGACAGCAGCAGCCTGGATGGCAGGGTGTTCTGTATGTAGCTCTTTCCCTCTTCACGGAGTGCAGGTCCCACTCTGCATTAACACACCTCTCCTTCCAGAGCACCTTTAGAAGGTTAGGGGCCCACAGGGAAAGCCTATGAGATCAAGGTCTCGTGTTGTTCAAGTGCACCAAGACTAGGCCCATGGCCTCGGAGCCTAGGGGCTGGCTCAGCCCTACCTCAGAGCGTTGAGATGCTTCCAGAAGGGAACTGAGCAGCGCCCAGAGCTTAGGTCTCAGCTAAAAGTCAGCCTGGCTGCCTATAGACATGGCCTAGCCAAACAAAGAGTCCTGGTGTGGCACTGCAGGGTAAGCACCAGACAGCTTACTGCAAAGTCATCAGTTCAAATCCACTAGCAGATCCTTGGAAATTCTATACATGGTCGCCAAGTTGGAACCAACTAGAACAGGCAAGCAAAGACCCCACTCTGGAGCTGTGGGAAGCAGCAGGAGACTCATGGATGAGTGGAGCCACGGGACTTGGGGCCAAGCCTCATTATGGGAGCCCTGCCCAGATCCCTCGCCACACTAGGGATAGCCCACCTACTTTCTCCCTACGGCCCCTACCTAGGCCTCACCCTCTTCTGGTGATGCAGGGCAGGGCCCTCTCTGAGGCTGATGCCCTCGTGCCCCATTGCTTCTCTGCCTCTCCTCATTCTCGTAAAGCTCTGACCCTCCTCCCTTAGGCACAGGCCCCCCAAAGTTCTTCCCTTGAACTCAAAACCAAATCACAGTCTCTCTCAGTTCTGAGGGGTCCATCTTCTCTGGCTTTGCCATGGCCAGCTCTGGACAGGCAGCACTGCCCTGGGTAGCCCACAACACCTCTAACCCAGTTCCCAACTCCACTTGAATTTCCAGGACCACCCAGGCTAAAAGCTTCAGGTCATTCACCAGTGCCCCGGGCCTCACCCCAAGTCAGCAGTGAACCAGAGTCAGAAAGACATGGTCCGAGCTCATAGCTGTGCAACCTTCTGCAAGTTACTTAATTGCTCTGAGGCTCCATTTATTACGTACAAACTAGACGAATATAGTGCTTTGGAGTCCTGATGTGGTACTGTAGGATAAGCACTGGACCGCTAACCACAAGGCTGGCGATTCAAACCCACCAATTGCTCCTCAGAAATCCTATGCAGAGTCACGATGAGCCAGGACAGACTCGACAGCACTCAACAGGACTTTGGGCATATTATCAGGAGGGACCAGTCCCTGGGGAAGGCCATCGTGTTTGGTAAAACAGAGGGTCAGCAAAAAAGAACTTGAGGAGATGGACCAACACAGTGGCTCCAACAATGGTGAGGATGCTTGGTTCTGTTGTAACTGGGATCACTAGGAGTCCGACCAATTCGATGGCACTTAGCTACCACCACCTTTGGTTTTCTAGAAAAGGGCATCCTGGTTGGTAAAGGAGACAGCTGATGGAAAGGATGCCCTCAATGAGATGAAATGAGTTCCTCAACAGTGAACTCAAGCATTGTAAGGCTCACGAAGGCAGCACAGGAATGGGCAACACTTCCTTCTGTTATACCTTCGATTACTGTGTGTTGGAGCCAGCTGGACAGAAACCCCACCACCAGCTTAGGGTTATGTTGTTGTAGTTGCTAAGTGTTATCGGGTCGGTCCGACTCACAGAGACCTTGGATAGGGTTTCTGAGGAGTGGCTGGTAGGTTTGAAGTGCCAACCATGCAGTGCTTATCCTACAGGACTCCACTGGTTATGGCGAAGGTTTAATGAAGTCGCATTAAAAGAATACCCAATGAATGGTAGCAGAGCAAGCTGACGCTTGTCAAATACTGTCCCTTCTATATCTGAAATTCCCCCTCCTCAGACACTCTGAACTAGTACTGTGATGGTCCACTCCCTGCCCACTGGAGTGACATCTCTAAATAGCATGTCTACCCACAATGCTTCCCTGCTCTCAGAAACCCCCTCTGCTCCACACTGACTTCAGAGGAGACACACTACTCTGGCTGGCTCTTTGCAAATTAAAACCAATGCTATCTTCCCATCCCTTTCTACCAATCTTCCTTTCTCCTTGAAGGTCCCCTTGCTTAAACACCTGACTTGGGGTCCCAGGGTGGGTGTCCATCTCTCTTCTGGCCTCAGCAGTCAGTGTGGGCGCTGTGTGTTCATTTCTCTACATGGCTATGTGGCTTTGTTCAGAAGAATGAACCCCTCAATGTCCTGATCTCTTTGGGTACCATGGAAACAACATTCAACAGTGTAAGGTGCCTAGGACAGTGCCTGGCCCTGACTAAAGGTTAAGAAAATGCTAGACAATGTTGTTGTTGTTGTTGTTATGTGCCATGGAGTCAGTTCCGACTCATAGCTACCCTGCACAGGGTTTTTGAGGCTGTAAATCTTTATGGGAGCAGAAAGCCTCATCTTTCTCCAGCGGAACAGCTGGTAGTTTCGAACTGCTGACCTTGCGGCTCGCAGCCCGATTAGTAACCACTACGCTACCAGAGCTCCTTTTTAGACAATGTTAGCAAAAAGAAAAAACAAAACCTTGTCAGAAGCTCCCACTGCCCGAACCCCTGTAGCTGGCAGTCACTCTTCTTGGCCATGCCAACTCTGGCTTCATGTCCCCCCTTCAGAGCTTCCCCAGCGAGACTTTGCTGTTCACCAACCAAGCTAGATCTTGTCCACAGTTCCACGCTTTGTACACCCTGGGCCCTCGGTCTGGAATTCTGTCTTCACTTGGAAAATCACACATCCGCTGAGACCTTTGAATCTGGCTTCTTAGTCTGGTCCTACTGGCTTCACTGGGTCACCTCTGGGTCTCCGTGTAACTGACCCTGTCCTTGACCATCCACTCACCCTTCTCCTACACATGGGTGTCTGGAGGGAGCGGCTGGTCCTGCTTGGCTGTGCACCTTCACAACAGCCTGGGGTCCCCTTCAACGAAACTGCTTTCTCACACTGGAGCATGAGGCTGAGGAGCAGAGAGAGGGAAGGCCTCCCCTGCCCCCACCTCCTCCCCACTGCCTAGGTGCCAGCAGGCTTAGGTAATCCCAGCCAAACACAGTCTCTCCTCTCCTCTCCGCTGAGGTCTAGAATGGCAACACGGAAGGCCTCTAGGGATCTTTGTGCCTCCTTTCACAGAGGGAGAAACTGAGGCCGGCGAGGGACACCTGATGGAAGTCACCACTTGAGTCGGCGCCAGGAGGTACATCCAGGACTCCCAGGTTCCTTGCTGCCCAGCCTCTGGTCTTGGTTGGCCTGGGGTCCACCCTACCTGAAACAGTCTGCGTGCCAGTCAGCATTCAGGGCCTGGAGGTACTGGTCATCACAGATCCTCTGGCTGCAGCTCACACACACGGGCAACTCGCTTCCTGCAGGGGGAAAAAGGGAGTTGGGAAGAATTCTTAGGAGAAGCGGGGACAGGTCCAGCCTGCCTTGCCGACCCTGCGTGCAGGTGCCAAAGAAAGGGTGCCGGTCTGAGAGTTTTGCTGAGACACTAAGTTATCAAGCCACCCTGAGGCTCAGTTTCCCTATCTGTAAACCGAGGAGGAGGAGATGAAGGACACCTTGCAGCCAGAGCTATCTTTCATCCAGGATCTGGAATGATAAAATGGGATGACAAAAAGTGGGGGGGCTTAGAAATACAGGGACAGGTCACTACTGTTGTAACCCTTTTCTCTCTCTGGGCCTGGCCTGCCCAGGAGGAGGTGTTAAGAGGACCCAAAATGACAGGGACTGGACCAGACTGGGCCGGGCATCCTAGGTGAGAGCCCCCAGGGAGAGGAAGGCAGACAGCCTAGAGATGTTGGCTCCAACCAGAGCTTGGCTAAGTCGTGCTCTGATGAGGGGCGGCTGCTGCAGAGCTGGGCTCCTAGACACCTGCTCCAGGAAGCTTGGCAGCATCTCAAGTCAGCCACTAGGCATGCTTAGTCATCGCTGGGGCCTGTCACCTTGGACGGGGTGAGCTTCAGAAGACCCACTGTACAGATGGGGAGATTGAGCTCTGGAGAAGTGCAAAACTGGCTGGGGATACACAGCCAGGCTCAAGGCCATGAGGTCCCAAGGCAGTTAAGGTGGCAAGGTGGATACCTGTCCCAAGTAGGTCTGGGTTAATCCCTACTCTGAGGACTACTGCAGAACAGAAGAAAAACACCACACATCTGTTACCCTGTCCACTGGTAAGCATGACCTGAAGAGATTAATGGTGCCAGCTGGAGACAGCCTGGCTAGGAAGATTGGCACGACCTTGAATAAAGACAGTAGAGTTCCTGAAATTCCTCAGCCCCCTACCTCATACTGAAGCACCCTACAAAATTTCCCTCCCTTCTTCCTTGGGGAGATAGATGTGGGAAATTTTCCACTCCCCTGCTCTCCTGAGTATTAATACTCAATAAACGCTTTGCTCTTTGCAGAGTCCTGTCTCTGAAGATGGGCTACATGAGCGGCAGGTGATAAAAAACCGTTTTTCCCCTCAAAAGCTGACATGAGAGCTGAGAGGAGGAAACCCAAAAGATCTCAAAGCCTATGTGGGAGTCTCAGGGGTCTTTGAGCACAAACTCTGATGCAACCCTCAGAATGGGACCCCAGTAAGGAACATAGGGCTGAAAGGGAGTGAGTGTGGTTGTCAGGACCAACGCTAATGGCAGGTGCTAGGATTGCTGCAGCGAGAAAAGTAATTGCGGGGACTCCAGCTAGGAGGTCCTCCACATCCCCAGACCACATTATTTCTGCCCTGCTCACTAGTATCGGGGCTAACTAATCCATCCCCAACTGTACAGTTGGGGAAACTGAGGTCCAGGGCAGGACCTGGCTCAAGGTCACAGAGCAAGGCAGGAGCGGGGTGGCGACTGGGACCCAGAGCTTCGGCTTTCTCAGTCGCAGTCTCCCTCCGCCGGGTTCCAGACTGGGCAAGGGATGGCCTCAAGGCGAGCCCCGGGTGGACGTAGCATTGGGACAGAGGCTGGACAGGCAGTGCTGGGACTCCTAGGGTGGCCATCAACTGAGGGGTGGGTGGGGGAAGGCGGGGATGAAAAGGGAGGAGGGCAGCCCACCCGAGGCCCAGGACGAGGAACGCGCGGGGGATGGGCGGCGAAGGGCCCTCGAGCGTATCCCAGAGTCCGGGCGCGGCCTCGCGCGGCCCGGGCCTCCACGACGCCGGCCC